ATAGACTGTCTGTACTTTTACTTATTAGGTGATTGTGTCTTTATTATCTTTATTCAGTATTTTCCTTGTTAACTTAAGAAATATTTTGTGTTGATGATAATGCCGATGATGGAAAACTAAAAATGTTATTAGATGCCAAAATAATCTTTGGCAGAAAATCCTGGGAAACTCCCGAACTAGTGGGAAAATTACTGGGTTTTGTATGATATTACAAACCTCCACTAATCCAAGGGGGGGGGGGAGAATTGTTAGCTGGGTTGCAAAGGGGGAAACCAGCAAAACAAAATTTGTCACGAACTATTCTCTCACACGTATGGTCATCTAAAAGAGAATCAGAGCTGTTTTCCACATGGTAATCAGAGAAACCTAGGGTTCCTCAAGACGTCAGGTAATAGAATTCTCTCAATTAGGAAACAAGACAAAGGGCAGAGAAAAGTGTCGCTTTGGCCCAAGAGACATAAATAGCATTTCCAAGCCTGGGCTTAAACTCAGACCTCCTAATTCTCTGTTCAGGTTTGTGATGAAGTTTCAACAGTCCATTGCAAAATGAAATAAATAAATGAAGACAATTTAGAGAGTTTTTTTTTTCTTCCTGAATGTAAACGAGTTAAAGAACATCTTTTATCTTGACAAGTATGCCCTTCTAACCCTTCTACCTTTTATGGTGAAAAAATATTGTCTCTGTTAGGCAATAATGACTTTAAATGTATTTGGAGTTTTGGGGGTTTTCTTAATGCCCTTATTTTGGCAATCATAATGCAATTTGTCACCAGTGCCCCTTTTTTAAAACAAAAATATTCTGAGAACTACTGAATTCGAGTACCTATAGCCAAAGAACAATGGAGATTTTCTTGTTCTTAAAGAGCAAGGCAGGATGCAAGGCCTGGTGGGTAAGAGAAGGTGGAGGCATACAGATGAGTAATCTGCATTAACAATGGTAGCCCACATACCCAGGCTTGGGATTTTCTGGAATCTCCCTCTTTCCTCCTTTTTACTCCCTCATTCGTCAGGGAATGAGAACTTTCTGGAGTCTTTGGGCATGACTCTTGGTATGAGGCCTCTCTGGGTCACCACAGTGGTGATATCTGATGTAAGCCAGACTCCCAGGTATATCTGGCGAGAGTGGTGGGAGTGGGATGCTCAGACCCCCATTATTCTTTCTGGTTGTGACTTATCCCAGAATGTGAAAGACTCAGAACATTAGTTCTACAATGTTCTTAAGTCTTCTGCCTGAGAAAAGAATACCAAAGTCCAAGGGAAGACTTTTAAATCATTAATGGAGGCCGGGCATGAAAGCACATGCCTGGATTCCCAACAGCTCAGGAGGCTAAGGCAGGAGGATCTCGACTTCAAAACCAGCCTCAGCAACTTATCAAGACCCTGAGCAATTTAGTGAGACTCTGTCTAAAAATAAATAAATAAATAAATAAAACAAAGCAGGCTGCGGATTTGGCTCAGTGGTTAAGTACCCCTGGGTTCAATTTCTGTTACAAAAAAAAAATCATTATAGGGAGCTGGACTGAAACTGCTCCCCCTTTGTCATTGGCCTCCAGTGTGTTCCTGCCCTAGAAAACGGGAGGCCCACGTTATTGAAGTTTCATCAGGTTTGAGTCTGTGTCAAACTGTCCTGGTGTACCAGTTTGACCGGATTATACAGATTCCACATTTACATTTCAACAGAGGCTTCTGAAACTCTCAAAAGATTCATCTGAAGATTTCTCCCTTGGACCCCTAGGAGCCTGGACGTGCCCTTCAGATCGTGGGCCTCACAGCTGCTAACCAGAGAGAAGGATATGAAGAGTTTTGAAAGAGGAAGGCAACAACGGGCTGTCCCAGAGATCTAAAAGTGTTTTCAAGGGAAAAGGAAACCAAAAACGGAAAGACATATGTGGTCAACATTCATCTGTATATCCTCACATTCTGGTTGCACTTCTGTCCATTCGTGTCCGAGTCTCATGTTGTGTGAGGGATCAGATGTTCTTCTCCTGGGCAGACTTGATCAAATGAAATTACACCTGGCCAAGAGGAACTGTCTTTACATTTAGACTGTTTCAGGTGGTCTCACGTGAGTTCACCTGGAAACTCTGTCACTCCAAGAAGCAGTAGTTACAGAGAGAAGAAAAGGAACTAGCAGCAACTGAACCACTTCGTGACAGGCAGGTTCTAAAGCTTTATGTGGTTTCTCATTCATCTCCATGACAGTCTCACATGGAGAATGTACAGAGGAGGAAGCAGCTGCTCAGAGAAGTTAGGTAGCTTGCTCCAGGTCACTGGGCCTTAAAGAGGACAGAACTGGTCCTGCTCAATCCAGGATCAACCCACGATTCACACCTAAATCCTCTTGGTGCTGCTGTGATCTTTTCCCAAGATTGCTGCAGTCCACCTGGTCATCTGGTGCATTAGGGAGATGGGGTTGGGGATGTGGTTCCCCAGACAAGATGTGACATAGAAAGAATATAAGGGACAAAGGCAGAGAAACATTCTAAGAAAGTCTCTGTCTATCCACAGGATGGATTAACCTGTTAGCACCAGGCTTCCAGTGGCCCTCTGTCTTTGCAGTACTCACTGGACAGCTGTGCTGGGCAGCAGAGGCATTTTGGCAGAGGAAGAAAGGAGTTTGTGTTCTATTAAAAAACAAAAACAAAAACAGGCTGGGGAATGTAGCTCCATGGTAAAGTGCTTGTCAGGCATGTACTAAGGCCCTGGTTTCAACCCTCACTACAGGGGGAAAAAACAAAAATCAAAAATAAAGTAAAAAAACTTGCATCTGAGCCAATGAAAAGAGGGTGTGATAAGCTTGTATTTCTAACAGTTTCTAGGGTTGATAAACATTAAAATTGTTGGCATGATATCTTTATTACAGTATTATTATTGATTCATTCTTCCATTTCACATAGTTAATATTAACTGATGTCAGTTATATCACATATTTAGATACAAAATACGAAATACACCTGATGAAGTAGAAATATATTTTTTAATTTTTTAAACATCAAATCTTAGGAATCTAACATGTGGACTTTGCATGGCCCAGGAAATCCTCTGGCTTCTGCTACAAGGGATCTGAAGACTGTTTACATTCCAATGGAATTCCTGGGAAAGTCCAGAGCTCTCTGAGCTTTGAAAACAATGGCTTATGGAGATAAACTCCCAACTATGCAACCTGAGAGGAGGGAAGGCCAGAGAGGGCCCCCTGGGCGGGACTGGGTCAGGCCAGCATTTGCTCCTTCCAGCTGAGGCACTTGTCTGGAAGAGGTGACATGCCCTCTCTTGCCTGCTGGGCCTCACTTGAAAGATTACTGCTGTACATCTTGTGATCAGTAGCAACTATTGTTAATGATGTCTACAAATGTTCAGAGATGCAACCACACCCTGAGCAGGCTCAGCACTCATAAAGTGTGGGTAACTTCTTCACTCACTCATGGAGACAGAGACAGCAATACTTAGCCTTGAGCTATACTAAATCCCTTCTTTTGCAGAACAGGCAATAGAGACCTGAGTAGTTCAATCAATATTTTAAAATTATATAACTGGCTAATGGCAGGCCCAAGGCAAGAAGCCAAGTTTCATTCATCTATTCAACATATAATAATCAAGCTGTATATCATATTCAGGAAGTCAACCTAAAATAACAACAGAGAGGACAGCTTTCATAAAAAAAAAAAATGGAATTTATTCAGGAATGAGTGACAGGGTATTGCAATCTGGGATACATGGGTAAGGACAAGTCATATGTGTTTCCAGACAGGCTGAGATGATAGGAAGCTTTTGAACGGCAAAAAGGACAAGTCCACTTAAGCTACTCTGAATTAAGATTCATTAGTCTCAGAAGTACCTTGCAAGGAGTTTGTGGGGATACATTGCTAGGCAAGTGTCTCATCTGAACTTCTGCAGGCTTGATGAATTTGTTTTGGTAAACCTTGGCACATAAATACAAGCAGATGTGCAGAATGAGCAAGGTGTGGGGGGCAAATACGTCAGAGGCATGTAAGATGTGCAAGAATTTCTTGTGGGATTTGAAATCTCCTTGTGATGGTTCTTATTTCAGACCCATAAGCATGAGTTTATCTATATCTCCTTCATGATCTCCTGGCTCTCAGTTTTGCTTTTTTGGGGGTCTGACAAAAATAACTTCATCTCTTGGTATGGGCAACTGTCAAATTCAACTTTCAGAAGGGAAGAAGCAGTAGGGAAAACCATTAGTTAAGGTGGATGGTTTGGAGAGTAAGTCCATCCTCCAATTCTGTTCAATTATAAGCCTCTTCAGAAAGAAAATGCAGTTCTCAATTCAGTCTAAAAGACACCAAACATGGAAAGGATTTGGGGGTGAGGGTGTGATACAGCAAACGCAAAGGAAAATTTGTTATAGGGCTTGGAAATGTCTCTAGGAACAACAGAGAATGTTCTTCCATGTGGATATGCTACTGGCACGATAGAAGCTGCCTGCTGAGAGGCTAAGACTGTTTGAGAAGAGAGTGAGGAAATAACCTGGGTCCTTGAGACACTGAAAAACCAAAGTTGGAGGCCCTGAAAGAATCCCTATAGATATGTGATCTGATAAAATTACCTGATCAATCCAGTGGAGTTAGGTTCTGTAATACTTGCAACTGAAAACTTCCTTCAATGATATTTGAAGGAAAAAATTGTTTTGTTTTTTTAAAATTTTTTATTGTTGGTTGTTCAAAACATTACATAGTTCTTCATATATCATATTTCACACTTTGATTCAAGTGGGTTATGAACTCCCATTTTTACCCCATATACAGATTGCAGAATCACATCAGTTACACATCCACTGATTTACATGTTGCCATACTAGTGTCTGTTGTATTCTGCTGCCTTTCCTATTTTTTTTTTTTTTTTTAGTTCTACATGACAGCAGAATCCATTTTGATATAATTACGTAAGCATGGGACTATATTCTAGCTAGGATCTCATTCTTAGTGGCAAGTCATTACTTGAGTTTCCATCCAATGGCTTCTATTTTCTCTTAGGAAAGTAGGAGGAAGAAAGGTTGGAGGAAAACAGAAAATTGTCAACCAATTCCTTATGCAAATTTGGGAGTGCTGATTTGGGAATGCTGATGTCTGAGACCAGGAGATTACAGCAGGACCAGTGCATTTACCAGGTGGCTCTTCTCCAGCTGTGTTTGGCAGCCCATGAACAGCAGTGGAGAAGGTGGGTCATTGCATTCCACAAAGTATGGGGGTTTCCAGGTAGGTGCTTTCCTATCTCTGCTTTATCATGTTGTCTTTGAGATGTCAGTTCAGTTCGATATTCATAACTGTCTACCATGTACAAAGCAATCATAAGTTCCTGTAAAAATAGAAAAAATATTCTTTTGGTTTCCAGATTGGTCAAGATAAATTCAGAGTATCTCCCAGTAGATATATGGCTTCATAGCATAACATGATCTTCAATTACGAGATTGAAAAGGTTCCTGTGTCTTTAAAGACTTGATAGCAAGTAAGAGATAAATATTTTCAAAATGGAAAACAAAACAACAACAAAAAAATCACAAGAAAAACAACATAAATCCCCGTGAGCTACTTTTGAAATTCTTTGGGTTAAAAACTATGGAGATTGGGGTGATCCAATGCTCCATGTTGACTTTTATAAAAAAGTAGTGTTGATTTCATTTATTCCACCCTTTGTCACCCATGCCCACCCACTACATGGCAACTGTGTATGCTATGAATAACAACTTGCTCTCTGGAAACTGAGTGGAGGAATCTGATAATGTTTTCAACAAAATGTAGAATTTAAATCTGGCCAAGGGAGACGTAAAAGGAAGCCCTCTCTTCTCTTTGGACCGAGGTGGGGCAGTGGGGTAGGCAGCCAGAGAGGTTTTCAAGGGAGTCCTAAATTCCAAAGGCAGGAAGGATGGATAGCATGGTCCAAGCAGAATTCTCAGCCTGCCTGCAGGCCTGGGAATGGGATGAAGAGTTGGAGGAGTGGGAGTAGAGGGTCAAGGACATTTGGGAGACTTGAATTTGATACTGCTGCAGAGAGGAAGCCTCCAAGGAGCTAGAGAAGGTCAATAAAGCAATTAGATTTGTTTCTTAGAAAAATAGCCCGTGATTTTGCAGGGGTTAAACTGGGAAGGAGGAAATGAAGAGGGAATGATGATGGGAGAGGCACTTCCGCCTGTGATATAGATGTCTATTCTAACAGGAATGAGGTTCAACTTTTAAAATAAAATAGGCTCTGATATCTTGAAAACAGAAAACCTATAAACCATCACATTTGGATTTTCAAGTTTAGAAGTTATTTCTGACTCCTTCATCAAATTAGGTTCTGCTTTGTACTTTCTTAGAAAGGTGGCATAATTTCAGAATTACAGTCCAGTAACCAGAAGTTTTTGAAAGATTACATTAATCCTTGATTTGAGTGTTTTGAAAATAACTGTAGGGGTGGGGCTGTAGCTCAGTGGCAGAACTCTTGCCAAGCATGTGTGAGGCACTGGGTTTGATCCTTAGCACCACATAAAAATAAAATAAATAAGATAAAGCCATACTGTCCATCCTCAACTACTAAATAAATAGATAGATAGATAGATAGATAGATAGATAAAAATTTAAAATGTATTTAAGAAAAATAACTGTAAAAGGGATTCAAATACACTACCATGGCCACTCTGACAGCTTCCCTTTCCTCTGTAACATTCCTCAGACTGTTTTGAAGATCTGCTCCATAGCAGTTTAGATCTGGGAGTAGAAAGGATGTTGAATTAGCTAGAGAGATGACAATGTTTTTCTCTGAATATGGTAAGAAGCAAGCAGCATATCATAACTACCTCTCTCCTTAACACACCAATCTTTCCGCCCACCCCAACCCCAGGTGACTCTTCTCTCCCAGACTCTCAACCCACCTCTCCCCGATTCTCCCTGTGCACCTCCATCGACCAACTTTCCCAGTTAGGAAGACCCTATCTTCTCCAGGTGGGAAAATGGCACTAGTAGTGAGTGGCTCCTCTTTGGAGGGCCATAGAAAGGAAGAAGGCTGGAATCCTGCATTCCTTCCCCTGGAATTAAGACCTCTAGATTAGCAGAATATAAAGTCATGAGAACAGAAAGCAAAAATTTGGTAGTGGTTCACTAGGGGTAATAGTGAGAGGTGCCACTCCTATTTCTTCTCCTAGCTTCCTAAACCCATGAACCCTGGCTATGGGAGAGACAACATTATAGGTTTTTCAGAACATATGCATTCTGCAGGAGACCCTTGTGAGATATACCTGAGATAAAACTCCATTGATTGCTTAGCCTCCATCAGCCTCCATGGAGTAATGTGTTGGGTCTCCTAGAATTAGGGTCAAATTAGAGGCAGTGTCCAGTAGTTCACAAAAGATCTGATTATTTCTCTTTTCCCAATACATAATTATTACAATGACACACAGAAAAAAAAAAAAAACAAAACATAGGTCCCCTGGGGAAGATGGGAAGAAGTTTAACTGCATAAGTTTTTGAGAGTGTATCAGATCCTCTCTGAGGGGAGTCAAACTCACCTTCATTCATAGGGTTCTGGCCTGTAAACTGGCTTTAGCTTGGGAATTGATTCAGGGCATATGACTATGTTTCTAGGATCTGAGTTAAACCTTATTTACTGGATTTAGAATTTCACTGCTTATATAGATCAAGTAAGAATTTATTGGGCTATTGTTTTTTTCATTTTTAGGAATGCCATGATTAACTGGCCAATGCCACAGGTCTACGGGAGTTATTCCATTCTGATTGCTGCCTCTGTTGTGCTATTGATAACAATACTCACCTTGCCTTTGGCAGTTGACTGCCACCACTTGGCTCCTGTCACCACCATGCCCAATTACTCCGGCTGTATTTAGGTGTTTCAGTTGTGTGGCAGCTGTTCCCACTGTAAGGTGTGGCCTTCGGAGAAGAGCCATCATGGAGCTCATGGAAGATGCCAAACTCCCCTCACAAATTAATTTCTCAATATATTGGTGAAAAGCATATCATCTGGACCCTTCCAATGTAGGTGAGTAGGTGCTGGTCTTACCTAACAAATCCACTCTAGCATTTCAGTTTCCTGAAGACTTTGAACCCTTTTCTCTACTTAAACTAAGGGAGGTCCGATATTTTCTTCCTTCAGGGTGAGCCATCTTTTGATCTGTGTTTTAGCCAACCCACCAGCCAAACTGTTGGAGCCCTTTCTAACTCCCCACGCTGCAACATTTAATGCAGAATCTCTGCTTAGTGAGTCTACATCAATAAATACGGCTTGATCCAACATTATCAACATCCATTCCCATGAAGTTCTGCTGGCATACATTAGAAAACTTGAATAGTTCTTTTGGTATGTAATATACCTTCTCATGATTCACACTTTGTACCTCACATTTAGGGGCCTGCATCTTGTTATAGATCTAGAAGCAGAGAAGAATGGTGAGGAATGGATCCTTGGAAGAATTGACATTGTCTTACTTGACAACTGCCTTATGACTATTATTTCCTTAGGTAATTCAGGGTTAATCCCCTCAGCAGGAGGTAAAAAGGCTGGTAACAATGTAGGTGGGGTGGCTGTTACCACTGGTGGGGGATAGGTGGTCACGTCTGCTGAGTTTGTGAAAATCATTGCTGGGCGAGGAGAGACTAGCTCTACTGAGAAGGGGGAGACCACTTTTACTGGCAAAGTCTCCAGCTTCATCAGGTTTTTCCCATATACCCCGATATATTCTCAAACTCAAGTATCCCATTCTTTTCCAGTCAATGTCCTCACTTTAACCACCGACACTGTTCTGGCCCTGAGAAATTCATTAATTTCCAATTTTAGTCCTCTGTCTATAGGGCATAAGGCTATCTTTCAGGGTTCACCTAGAATTCCCTATGCAGTGTTTGAGGTAAAAATCAAATCTTTGAATTCACCCTTTTCTTTCCCTACGTTGTCCAGCAACATTAGCACCAAACAACCAAAGTTATTATAGTCCTTAGTTTTACAAAAAATGTTCAAAAGTATATAGAGAGTCACTGCACTCATTGTTTCATGTAAGTAGTTGATCAAGAATATTCATTGCAGATATTGTGTGTCTATATAAACATTTCATGCCAGGATGGGGATGTAGTTCAGTGGTGGAGGCCCTGGGTTTGATCACCAGCACCACACAAAAGCAAATGAACAAAAAATATCATGCCATGGAATATCAGTGCTCTTTTCACTACTGGAAACAGAATCATTAGCATCTTTAAATCTAATATGATTAGAGAACCATTCCAGGAACCTCATAAAAAATTTTAAAAACTTTCCTTTAAAATTTTGCTCTTCTAGAATTACTTGTTAGCATAGGCAGATTAACTAGAGATGAACAGGAATGGGAAATGAGTGAGAGGGGAAAGAGGGGTCACTGTAAAAGGCCCTTGGCTAGTAATTGACCCAGAGGTACCAATCCTGCTCCACATTCCAGAAAGAGGCCCAATACACTCTCCTGTGGATGTATGGACACACATCATGTTCCCAGGGCCACTCATGTGCCCACAAGCCACTCTGAGGTCAGTTCACTATTATATAACCTTCTGTCTGAGGCACTAGGCTAGAAAAGGCAAAGGGGCCCAAAGAACAAGGCACATGCTCTCAAGTTTTACACAGCACAGGCCTGTGACTTTCTCCAAACAGGCAGCAACAATACAAAGCCCAGGACCCAAAGACCCATGACCACCTGCCACTCTAAGGTTTTGCTGCCACTACATGCTTTTTCCACATCCTAAGGAACACCTAAAGCTTAATTATTTCTCATGCATCTGCTCCCTAGCTGATCTTCTTCTCCAGGGTCTATCTCATTTCCTCTTGTTTTTTCCCTCTTCTTGCAACAATAAACCTGCTCTAATTGCCATCCTTGTCTTGCTGGACTTCTGTATCTGTACTGGGATAATTGTCCTGATTTTAGACATTACACCCAAGAACCCAGAAATAAATCACAATGAGAGTCTATTCTCAACCTCTGGGAACATACTCTTGCTATCAAAATCTATGCTAATCAATATTCTCCAGAGAAAAGAAATGAATAAGATAGGGTTAAATAGATATGTGGACAGACAGACAGACATATAGAGTTATTATGAGACTGGTTCACAAAAATCATGGGAGCCAAGAGGTCCCACAACCTGTTGTCAATAAACTGGCGGGACGGCAGTAGTATAATTCACTCATAGTCCCAAGAACCAGGGGAGCCAGTATTACAAATCCTGGTCCAATACTGAAAGCTCAAGAATCGGAAGCTCTGATTTCCCAAAACCAGATAAGATGGGTGGCCCAGCTCAAACAGAAACAACAAATTCTCCCTTCCTCCACGTGTTTGTTCCATCCTAGAACATCAACAGACTAGATGATGTCTGCCCACATTGGAGAGAACATCAACAGACTAGATGATGTCTGCCCACATTGGTGAGGGTGATCTCTATTTAATCTATGAATCCAACTGCTAATCTCCCCCAGAAACACCCTCACAGACACATTAAGAATTTTTTACCAACCATCTAGGCATCCCTTGACCCAGTCAAACTGACACACTAAATTCACCATCACAGGTTTGATGACTTCGTGCACAAAAGTTGACCATGTACTTCTCTCTGGGCTGTGGTCCCTTGGGTAGAGGTGCAGGAAACATAGGATCTGAATGCTGAGATGTCTCACTCGTGGAGACAAACTCGGACACGGGATGGGAAGAGGCCTGAAGCCCTAGATGGTCAGCACATCTCATAAATCGCATTTTCTAGAATCCTGGCATTCTCTTTCATCCCCACTGTTCAGCACTACTAGGAGGGGTAAGGCTTCAGGCCCTGTTATTTTCCTAGAGAAGGATGTAAAGGAGGGGACAGTGGTTCCTGAGGCACCATGGTGGTGGCAGTAAGGAAAACAAGAAATTCCTAAGAAGATGGAATGAAGCAGAGCTACGAGGTCCAGCCCTCCTTCTGGATATGAGGTTCTTTCTCCATTGCTAATATCGGAAAATCTGGATGTCTTTTATCATGATTGGGGACAGTAGCCTTTCTTCCAAAGGACACAGCATAACAACCAGAAACTACAAAGTTTCTTATCCAGAAAACAAGGCTAAAATATACTAATCTCAGAGACCTTCTATTCCTCTACACACCTTCTCACCCTCTCTGCTCTTTAGAACCCTCTTGGGTTGATATTAATATCTATGTTAATACCAGTGATTTCTTTTTCTAATCTTTGCTTTCCTGAGTCACTGGTTCCACAAAACACTAAATTCCTCAGTCGAGTGGCCCCTTGGGTATACATGACTGGTCATAAGCTTCTCATGAAGCAGGCCCAATACAAACAATAAATGCTAGCAAATTCACACGTAACATCTCACTCAATGAAAAAGAAATAATGAACATTGAAAAATCAGCTCAAAGTGACTTTCCTAAATTTTTTTAAGTATACCAAAAACATCAGGAGGGACTATCTTCATGCCCATAGGATTTTCTCTCATAAGCAACTTTTAAGACCACACAGTAACAAAGATAAATCTAAGAACACACACTAAGGGTAAGAGAACTTGAATCAGATGTAGGGAGTCTAAGAAAAACACTGAGAGTATCTCCACTTGGATTCCAAGGCATTCCCATATTCCTTGAAGGGGGGTTTCTCAGACATATTTTCACCCACACAGAGATGATGACGTTTTTTCCCTGACCTTTCTACTTCAGTTATTTCCAAATTAGTCTCCGTGTTTCCATTGCTGTGGGACACTGTGCTTATCATTCTGCTCACATCTGTTCTGGCCACCACTTGGCATGGGATGTTGGGGAGTTCCATGCCCATTTCCTAAAAGCTTATGATGTGCTTCCACATTGGTTCCCTTTGGGAACAAAACATCCCATAGAGATTTGACCTTTGATCATCCACTAATACAGCTTGCCTCCCTCTACCTTCCAAAGTTTCACATGTAAATACTTCTTTGTTCATAGATTTTTCTGAATACCACAAATGAAAAGCCTGTCTCAGGGACTGTACTTCCCAATAAAGCCAGGAATGTCCTGTGTTATAATATGCCATTGTTGATACACCCAAGCATCTCAAGACCTCTGGCAGCCCATTGTCATGGAATAAAATTGCAAATAGCTTCAAAGAGGAGATACTGAAGAGAAGATGAAAATGAGGGAGGCATTCTGGCCTATAAGACAGGTATTCCTATGGAAAAGAAATTTAAATTGTCAAAACAGACCATACTCTGGTATTTGGGGATCAGAGAACATATAGTCTCTCAGATTTGTAAATATCTGCACTGTTTATTCTTGGAATGGTGTCTTATTTGTAAAATTATAGTCCAGAGGCTAACAGAAATTTCTGAAACTTTGCTTAAAACTGAAAACTGAATGGGGAGAGGGAGGACTTGACCTTATATCTTTTTGATGGAAAGTCTATAAACAAAAAGAGTGCATTAAAATCTCATCTTTCATCCAAGGCTACCATAAGTTGGCACTCAAACATGGCGTTGTATGAGATGCAAGTATTCTTAGAAGGATCCGGAAAGGTGTGTGTGACATGTTGTATGTCCAGCTGTGGATAAGGTCTGAGCCAAAAAAGAAAAATTCATAGAAATAAATTGGAGTCAGTAGGCGAGGTCTGAAGATGCCTATTTTACATATCGCTCAAGAAATCGATAAGCAGAGGGCACTGTGATCCCTCCTATACTTCTTGCTTCTTCCTGTCACTTAGGAGATGTACACTTGGGCTAGAGACTGACAAGTATATTTTGCCCCACAGGGAAGCTGAGTTTCAGACCTCTTAGGATAGGTGGTCTGTGTTGCCTGGATTAGGTCTGTCTTGAAAAAGACATAGCAGCGGGTAGAAAATGAACCAGAAAATAAACAAAGAGAAAGTGACACATGTAGGGGTTAATGCCTATCCCACCCAAACCCCAAAGGGCAGGCATTTTTAAGTAGAGGAAGTAAGAAAAATTAAAGGAAGATTTGAATAAGCAAAATACCTCTTCTCAGTTTTGAATCTGGAAATGAAAGAAAAATAATGATGATGAGGAGCCCAAGACAAAACCACCAAGCTCAGATCTGTCCCTCAAAATTCCAGGTGTGGGGTGGGGCTGCAGTTGTAGCTCAGTGGTAAAGCACTTGGCTAGCATGTGTGAGGCACTGGGTTTGATTCTCAGCACCCCATATAAATAAATAAGTTAAATAAAGGTCCATCGACAAAATCATCTTTTAAAATTCCAGGCATGGCTAAAGAAAATCTGTTTGGGGCCTCTCCATAAAACTTTTCCATCCAAATTCCTTAGACCTGAGCACTCTAGGGTGAGAAAAGTCACCCCTGTCCAGTAAAAGATGGTCATGTTTGGGAATATAAACTCAAGAGAAGCAAAGGGCAAAGGGTGGAAAATATCTTCCGTATTTTCTAATTATTTTAGACTTAGTTCTTTTTGACACCTGTCCAGATGGAGGCAAAGATTGAGGTTATGACCCAGGTTGCAAAAGCAGCAGTGAAGGGGGATTTCTACTGTGCAGACAGAGCTTGATTCATCTAAGCTAAAAGCAAAAACCTGATAAATTCTCCACTTACCTGGCTGGACATTGACCTCCCAAAAGGAACAAAAACTCATGAGAGGAACTTCTTTCCTGAATGAATTATGAAAAACAAGTGAAAGCAAAGCTGGTGAATGGAACAGAAAGACAGGAGAGGCAAAGAGGAAAAGGACAAACATTGCTTCCCTGTCCCCCGTGTATCAGATATTACTCAAGGCACTGAACACATATCATTTCATTTATTCATCTCACTGGCTCTGGGAGGGAATGCATGACCATCTCCCCTTAGCCTCAGAGACAGTAAGCAACTGACCTTAGGTCACTTAGCTGCACTTTTAAGCAGCTGCAGGATTCTAACAAAGTTCTGACCCTTCTACTATCACCTTTGAGAAAAAGTATCCATGTCCTCTGGAGAATGTCAGTCATTTATTTAAACCACACCTGGAAAGACAGTAAATTCTGGGTATGAGTCTATAATTTCAACTAAAAACTGAATAACTTTAAAAGGTTTGGTGTCAAGTGATGTCTACCAAAGGGGGGAGGGGGAACAACCCTGCCTACATCTGGAAAGATCAGCAATGATGCTGATGAGGCACTTGAGGAATTCAGCTCAGATTTTAGAAAGATACACAGGAAAGGTACAAGAACTCATAATTAAGGGGTAATATGCAAGTAAGATGCTACTCAGAACTGGGAATGCTAGAGTTTAGTAGGAATTAAGGCTTGTGAAAAGTGGGGTGTGGGTCAAAGTAGAAGTTGAATGAGAGGGGCAAAGACCTGTTCCAGCGGAGGATGGCGTAATGTCAACAGGAAATGGCGGGAAAAACCAAACAATTCCACTTTTATTTTGCTCCCATAGTCTTCATCACTGAGCATGATCTTTATCCCTGAAATGTTAACTCAAACTTTGGTAAAAAGACTCTTAAAATCCAATTTATTGCTTTAACTAATAAGGTAGTAAATTAATTGACCTCAACTAATGAACTGCCTGAGAAAAGTGGTCAGAAAGGTCTTGGGGCTACATTGACCTGTGAAGCTGAAGAATGGTACAGACTCCAAAAAGATGGAATTTTGCATTTGATACCTTGATTTTTCAAGAGGGGAGGAAGATGGAGTGTACAAACCACAGTCTGGCAAATCTGATGCTGCAGGCCACTACCAAAGAGGAAGCAGCAAAGGTTCATTAACAGGAGCTATAGGAGACTCATCTCCTTTATCTGCAGAGTTCTTCAGGCAGACCAGTGGAGGGCTGCAGGCAGATAATGTCATCAGGCTTTAATGTCTCTGGAGGTAAGAAGGAAATTGGGGGCTAGATGATAACAAATCAGTTAAATGCACTTGTAGCCATAAGGGAGCATATCAGGGAAATGCTGCTCATGAAACCACATCATCCTGGAGAGATAACTGGATATGAGCCAAGCTGGCCTTTTGAAGTTTCATCTAAGACTGAAACTGGAAACCAGATGTGGGGTTCCAAAGGAACTCTATAGATTAGAACAAGGAAATAAGAAAACATGTAACATTGTTAATGTTTCACACTTAGATTAAGGAATTAATAGGTATAAAACAGTGGCACATGTAGAGTATAACTTTAGGTTGTGTTGAATCAAACAAGTCCAGAGTACGAAGGAGCTACTCAAACCTTGACGGTGACCCTTGGTTGCATCTGTGAAATATATCACCTAGATGATCAGTGTCAATAGCCTTTCTACCTGCTCAGGTTAGAGGTGTCTCCTAAAGGGGTTCAGTTCAGGGTGCATGCTCAAAACAGGGCTGTGACAATTGGGAACATGAGAAATTAGAAACAGTCACAGAACCCAAAAAGGCTTGGCCTGGAGAAGAACATGATAAGAAATGGTGTTTCTTCTAGACAGTTTGAGAAGGAAGATCAAGGGGAAGGAAGTGGATTTTGAGCTAGTTGTCAAGAGGAATATTCTAAGAATTATAGAAGTTCACCCAAAAAATTAGCTGACCACAGAACAGTGGCTTTACTCTTACTCATAAGATATAGGCTGGACAATCATTTGCTGAGGAAGAGGAAGAGATATCTTTGCTTTTAAATCACATCATCCCCAGTGTCTGGTCATTTTCTTGAATACAGCTTGGGATGGAAGATTATTATCTAATGATAATTGCCTAAACATTTGAGTAAAATGTTATTGAATATTTTCTCTCATTTATTAGCTTACTATAGATCTTAGGTGATTGCTATAATGTCCTTCAGAGTTTGAAACTGTCTCTTGGATTGAATCTAAGATGAATTCCACATTCCATTCACTGCTTCAACAACTTAATTTGGTCTACCCTTATCTCTTTCCCCAAACATAGCAATTTTTATTTGAATGGGACCTCCTAGTCTTTAGTCTTACGTTCCTTCCAAGGTACTCTTCACTCTGGCCACAGTATTCTTTCTAAAGTACACATCTTATCAAGTCATTACCATCTTTAAGACCTTTAGTGACTTGGTTTCTTCAATAAATCCATGGTATACTAAGAGAGGGAGAGGAGGGAAGGGGAGCAATGGGCTGCTGTATAATCAGGGAGACTTAAAAGGCTTAGCCCCCAGATTCAATGTTTGGACCTTGGATTCTGATCTATATAAACCAAACTTTCTTGTACATCCTAATAAAAATCCTTTGATTTATTTCTTAAATTCCCCCCACCCTTGTCCTACTTTGCCTTTCCCCACAAGCAATCTAAGGCAAATATTCTCTGTTTGTATAACCAGAGAAACAGACTAGAAGCACTAGCTTGACCTCTCAGTCTCACTGATTATGTGAGAGAAGAGGGGAATAATGTGTTACCATCTGCACAGGCTGCTCCATAGCACTCTATCCTTTTATGGAGAAATAGTAAAGTCAATTCTTGATTATCTGCTAATGAAGCAGATACAAATATCATCAATCAATGAATACTTTATTTATAGGTACCACTGTCATAGCAATATCTTAAAACTTCATTATGAAAAGCCTAAGAAAAATAACCAGGAAGCAGTCTTTGAGAAATGTTTGGGGGAAAGATTAACATTAGATGTTAACATTCACTTTGCTGTTATACTTGGTAAATTGTTTTTCATCAATCAATGAATACTTTATTTATAGATACCACTGTCATAGCAATGTCTTAAAACTTCATTATGAAAAGCCTAAGAAAAATAACCAGGAAGCAGTCTTTGAGAAATGTTTGGGGGAAAGATTGAGTGATGAACTGGGACCCTCACATTCTCTTTCTTTTGACAATTGTTCCTAAATTGTATCTTTAATAATAATTTATCCAAAAATAACAGTTTCACACTCTCTCTCCCACAAACGAATTTTAAGTTGGGATCCTCTCTCTGCAGGTGGCGGAAATGATACATTTGGAGCTTACACCAAAGCAGCAGCAGAAAACCTGGGAAGAGGGAAGAAAATAAAGTAGAAGGCTCAGGCGAAACAGACGGAGGTGCTGAAAGGAAAGCCTCAGAACTTTCTAAGCCTTGTGGTTGCTTCTTGAGGCCTGGCTGCCTTTCTCCTAGGGGAGTTCTTCAAACACACTTCTGTTCTTCTAACAAATCTTCCCTTTTGACAATAGAAAGAGAAAATAAAAGAAAAACCACAATTAGACCTGGTCATTATCTGAACATCCTTCAAGCTCTTACTCCTTTTATGAAAACTTCCCTGATCACATCAATGCAAGTGATGGTATCTTCTCAATTCCTGTAAGTGCTCATTATCTTCTCCACTCACTTAACACTCCTTATCTATCATGTTGCATTGTGAGTCCTATTCACATGCTCCCTCCAAGCACATTACACATTATTTGAAACCACAATTTATTTTTTACTCCTTCATATTTCCCACTGCACTAGGCAAAGCATAAAATAGACAAACCCTTAATAAATATTTGTTAATCTGATGGGCCTGATCCCTGCTCAAGTTCACTGAATAGTTGAACAACTGAAGTTATCTAGGCTTCGGTAAACTTCGGTAAACTAGAGACTAACTTTATAGAAACTAAAAACAAGTAACACTGAGAGAGCCAGGAACATGGTACATGCCTATAATCCCAATGACTGAGAGGGCTGAGAAAGGAGGATTCCAAGTTCAAGGCCAGCCTGGACAATTTAATGAGACTCTGATTCAAAAGAAAATGTTAAAAGGACAGGGAATGTTGCTCATTGGTAGGGCACTTGCCTAGCATATGTGAGACCCTGGATTAAATCATCTGCACTGCAAATAAATAAATGATAACACTAGGAGGAATTCTAGATTATATACCAGTACAGAAAACCCTTAAAAGAGGATTTGAGCCAAGATTTGCTACCTCAAGAAGTTAGGATGCCAGACCAGCTTAACAAATGTAACCAGTTACTGACTCAATAATGTATGCTATATAATTTGCCTGTTCACTTGCTGAATTTCACGTGTTGAGAATTATCTGTGCTAAGTCTTTCCACATTTACATCATCCAGAAAAATAAAGAACTCATTGTACAAGTACAGGTTTGGGGAAATGACCTCACAGGCATTATTGTGAAAAAGATCTGGGAGCTTAATTGATCTCTAGTTTAATATGAACTAAGGGTTTGTTTTCATTTCCTAAATATGCTAATTTAATCTTAGACCAAGTTAAACAAAGAATCACATTAAGTTAGGTTTTGTTCATGTTGTTGTTGTTGTTATACTATAGAAGCCCAGTCTCGTGCATGATGCTGGACTGTGTCTATCAAGAGTCATCCAGGGTCTCCTTTGGCATTAGGGACCCCTGAACTGTCCATTCCATGTAGTACAGCACTGTTGTTAGTAAATACCCTTGTTTTTTAGAAGTTACTCTTCTATTGACTTCCCTGGCATTTCCGCCTGCTGGGCTTAATTCTACCAATTGAGCCCCAGAGACCAAGTCTCACTCTCCTCTCCATAACAGTGGAAAAGCAGCCATGGAGTACCAGCCCACGTCCTCAGGCTAGATAACATCTCTCCACTTCTCCCAACCACTCCTTAAGTCATAAGATTTCTAGATCCTTCATTTTTCTGCTTTAACCTTCTTGTGATGCTCCATTTTATGAAGAAACTGAGGTCTTAAAAGATAATTTTCTCAAAGTCATATAATAAAAAAAACCCACCAGAGTTGAAATTTGTATTCATTGGCAACTAATCCGCTTGCAATGTAGTGACTCCTTTTTAGTGGGAATAGTATTCTAGAACATAGCAGGGAGGGCAAGATGTGAAGAGCAGGATATCTACAGTGGGTGAGCCATTGGGCCAGACACCTTTTACATTTATTTTAAATGAAATTGTGCGTGCCTTTTCAACCAAAAGGATCGAACAAATTTGACTGAAATCAGCGCTGTTTCTATTTGGTAGTTATTGAAGCCTTTGAAGAATATGCTATTTTCCAGAGCTAAGACATTCAAGCTGAGTAATGAGCACATTAGATTTTTAATTTCTGGCACATTAGATGTTAACATTCACTTTGCTGTTATACTTGGTAAATTGTTTTTCCAGCTGAACTTGTCCTTTTAAAGAATATATAAGAACCATGTATCACCCTGAGAAGTAATTTGATAATTGTATTGCCTATTTGAGAGTAAAACATACATAGTGACCTAAATTTGTGTTTATTGTAAATGTTGAGAATTGCGAATTGCCAAATCAACCTTACCAAGAATCCTGGAAGTGCTCCATCACGATTTGACTGTGATTTCTCCCTCAGGTCAGCTCCGGGTCACTGAATTCTGAACCCTTCTGCCACTTAGTCATGATGGGAATTAAAGTTGACCTGGATTTCCCCATTGACATTTCCACTTGATTAGCTCTGAAATACAAAGGCTATGAGTTCTGTTTCATTCTCTAGACTTAAGTAGCAGGAAACTTCTGCTTTTCTTCCCAACATACTCCCTCTAATTTATAGAAGTCAGAAATCCCAGTAGATTTACACAACAGATGTTTTCTGGCATGTGATTTCCCAAAGGGACCACGTAGGTATCATTACAAGACTTTTTCACAGACCCCCGGGTACTACTCAACAAATGACAACTATTTCTTCTTAATTCAAACTAATGGGATGAAGAACAATCTGAATCCGTAAAATCTTTTATTCATATGCATAAAAAACTTTTTTGTAATAATTCCAAAATTACAGGAAAGGTACAGACTGGTACATAACATATCCATATATATCCTTTACCCAGATTTCCAAATTTTTACATTTTTAAATCAATTCTGTGTTTCTGTTTGCACATGTCTGTGTTCTTTTTCTGAACCATTTGAGGGGTTGTCCCTTTATATTTCCTTGTACTTCTTAATACTTGTTAAATATTTCCTAAAATTAAGGACATTCTCTTGACCATAGTAGTTATCAACTTTGGGATATTTAACATTGATGCAATAGTTTAATCTGTTATTCTTATTTTCCCAATCACAATGTGCTTTATAACTTGTTTCTCCTTCCAGTCAGGTCACAGTACAGGGCCACACTTAGTTGTCCTGTCCCTTTAGTCTCTCTTACTCTGGAACAGTTTCTTGGTATTTTCTTTGCCTTATATGACAAAAGCCAATGATTTTAAGAAATGCTTTTGCTTTGGGGTTTGCTGATAATTCCTTAGGCGTCCCTGGCCAGAAAACTACATAATGATGATATGTATCCTTGGATATCCCAGGCATATGATGACCATCTGCCATTACTTCTTGGCAGTAACTTTGATCTCCTGATTAAATTTGTTCATTTTCTCCACCCTAGGTTTCTGTTGTCTCCCTCACAACTAGTAAGCAGTCATGTGGAGACACTTTAAGCCCATACAAATATTCTGCTCCTCTTGGCTCTTTTCTTCCTTACCTGGATTCTCACCCTAATCAATCTTCACTATGATGGTTGTAAAATGTTTCTTTTCCATCTCTACCCACTCTTTCCATATTTATCAGTAGGTGTTCTTTTTTTTCTATAAGAAATGATTCTTTCTTTCTTTCTTTCTTCTCTCCCTTCCTTTTATCTTATTTATCAATTTTTAGTATGTATTTAGGTATTCTGATTTTATTCCATGGGCTATAACTCATTCTTGTTATTATTACTTTTATTTAATTTTATTTAATGTTTAAATTGTTCCAGATTTGGCAAGTTGGAGACCCTTTGAGCTGGCTCCTTGTGATTTTGGTCTCCTCACATAATTTTTTAGAAAAGACTTTGTTTTCTGGTTCAGCAAGATGTTCTAGACTCATCAGGAACCTTACTTACTCCTGCCCTTTCTACAGGACCTGTTTCCTTCTCATGGGGAATTGTGCCTATAAACTAAGATGTGAGTGTAGCTATTTTCATTGCTACTGAGGCATCTTTGCCTCTAGGCCTTTCCAGAGAACAGATCTAGGAAAAATATACACAGACACCCATGGATGCTCACAAACATACACACACACAAAGACTGCTCCCTACATGGAATAGAAATTCTGAAGTTATACTGATATCTTTGATATCAAACCCACTCCACAAGGTTCTGTGCTGCCTTTCCCCACTCTACCTTTGAATATAACTTCTTTATAGTGAGAACCCTGACTTCCAACAACATCAAGATATGGACTCATTTTCCCCATTTAACAACAAATACTTCAGGATTTCTATATTAAAGTCACTATGTACATCAAATTAACTAAGAAGAAATTGATATGCACTTGCAGTTCTTTTTTTTTTCTCTCCTGGAGTAAGAGAATATTATCAAAGTATTATGTTTAAAGTTACTTGAATGTATTTTTCACCCCCAACCCCACTCTAATGTAGTCATATCCATTTCCAAAAGGTATACTCGAAGAAGGATACTGCTTTCCCTATCACTTCCACCTTTGTAGGAAAATAATTTCATTGTTTTCTGTTTATTCTTCCTATATTTATTTTTTTTTCAAAGATAAGCAGATTTATATGTTTTCTTAATTTCTCCCTCTTGCTTGAAGGAAAGGTAGCATATTGTAGATACTTTTTTGCCTAACTTTTTTTTAAACTTAATATCTGTTGAAATTGGGTAAATCTTATTTTATAACTGTATGAAAGTGTTGAAAGGTGTTGAGATAGTCCCCGTATTTTACTATTGCAAGTAAACTTTAGTTAAGAAGCTTGTGCAAGTGTATTTTCTGATTTCAAAGGTCACTCTTCAGGATAAATTCCTAGAAGGAGGAACACTACATTGAGTGAATGCCTATGTGGTTTTGTGAGATATTGCAAATTGCCCTTCATGAGGGGTGCCATTTTGCGTTCTTATTGTAAGTGGATGAGAGGAGCTGTCCATACAGTCTCACCAACAGAGTGTGTTGTCAAGGTTTTGAATATTTGCCAATCTAAAGGGTGAGAAGTGGTGTAACTGTGTAGTTTAATTTTAATTTAATGAGTGAATTTGTACATCTGTTCCTATGTTTAAGGGTCATGTTGATCTATATCTCTTTGGGGGAATGTATTATGATGTCTTTTGCTCATTTTAAGAAAATATTTTAGTGTTTCCTCAAATTTAAATGTTCTTTTTATGTTAGAAATATTAGCCCTTTATCTGTAATGTACATCAGGTTTATCAACTATTTGCTCCTAATTTGTCTTTTATGTTTCTTACAA